CTGTTTGATTATTTTCATCTCATTTCCATGTATTTTGGTGTCCTGAAAGCAAATAAAATATTGAAAAAAAAATCCTAGACATCAAGATTTGCCACAAAATGCCACATTGTCTTTAAATTTGGTTAAAAACCCATAATATAAAAAAAAATACCAAAAATTTTAAAAAAATTTGATAAATTTAAAGTCCAAATTACTATGAATTCATTCACATAAGTGCATTTAAGATATAAAATGCCAAAAAAACCTTAAAGGGGTTGTCTGAGTTATGTAAAAAAAAAAATATAGCTCTGTAAATCTGATGGTCAGCAATAGATACATAAGCTGAGCAAGTTTTAGGGAAAAAAAATTCTATTTCCTCATTTCCCTAGTTCTCTTCTGGCCCTTCGTTGTTATTTGCGGGTAAACAATCTCTGCCCCTCCCCCCCCTGCAAAGGGGGTAAATAGAAGTGCTGCTCTGAGTGACGTGTCTGACTACTGGGATACTCGGCAGCATGCTGTATGTGGAAGCCTCAGCCCTGAGTCTGGGCTTCTGATAGTAGAAGGGGTTACCGTATTTTTCGCCGTATAAGACGCACCTGACCATAAGACGCACCTAGGTTTTAGAGGCAGAAAACAGGAAAAAAAAAATCCTGAACTAATGGACTGCAGACATAGTACAGGAGATGACCAGAGACTGCAGACATAGTACAGGAGATGACCAGAGACTGCGGACACGGTACAGGGATGACCAGAGACTGCGGACAGCACAGGGATGACCAGAGACTGCGGACAGCACAGGGATGACCAGAGACTGCGGACACGGTACAGGAGATTACCAGAGACTGCGGACACGGTACAGGAGATGACCAGAGACTGCGGACACGGTACAGGAGATGACCAGAGACTGCGGACACGGTACAGGAGATTACCAGAGACTGCGGACACGGTACAGGAGATGACCAGAGACTGCGGACACGGTACAGGAGATGACCAGAGACTGCGGACACGGTACAGGAGATGACCAGAGACTGCGGACACGGTACAGGAGATGACCAGAGACTGCGGACACGGTACAGGAGATGACCAGAGACTGCGGACACGGTACAGGAGATGACCAGAGACTGCGGACACGGTACAGGAGATGACCAGAGACTGCGGACACGGTACAGGAGATGACCAGAGACTGCGGACACGGTACAGGAGATGACCAGAGACTGCGGACACGGTACAGGAGATGACCAGAGACTGCGGACACGGTACAGGAGATGACCAGAGACTGCGGACACGGTACAGGAGATGACCAGAGACTGCGGACACGGTACAGGAGATGACCAGAGACTGCGGACACGGTACAGGAGATGACCAGAGACTGAGGACACAGTACAGGAAATTACCAGAGACTGCGGACAGTACAGGAGATGACCAGAGACTGCGGACACAGTACAGGGATGACCAGAGACTGCGGACACAGTACAGGAGATGACCAGAGACTGCGGACAGTACAGGAGATGACCAGAGACTGCGGACACAGTACAGGAGATGACCAGAGACTGCGGACAGTACAGGAGATGACTGCTGACCTTTGGGGGGGGGGGGGGGGCGGGTACCTGAATTTGACAGGTACCCGATCTTACTTCCGCAGAGTTTTTGTTTGATCTTACCTGTTCCTCTATCCAGCCGCGCGCTGTCTTCCCGGCTTCTGTAATGGCGCTCGGCATGACAGCCGGGTGCCCAGTGCGCATGAGCGAGAAGCACTTGCGCTTTGTGATTGGTCCGCCGGCTTCTGGGATCTGTCATGTGTCCCAGGTACCGCCTTACCATTCACAAAAAGCACCGCTTCTTGCGCATGCGCACTTGGCACCCGGCTGTCATGCCCAGTGCCCACACTACAGAAGCCGGGAAGACAGCATGCCGCTGGATAGAGGAACAGGTAAGGTCCTGCTGCAGAGCTGAGCGGCCGGCCCGATATTCTGACACGGCCGCGGTGGAAATACCGGACCTGCCGCTCCATATTCGCTCTATAAGACGCACTGACATTTTCCCCCCAGTTTTGGGGAAGAAAAAGTGCGTCTTATACGGCGAAAAATACAGTAATCTTTCCTGAAGAGTCCAGTGGGTGGGATACCAAATACCCTCGTTTTCTGTGTCTATGGGACAGTCGAGACCGACAAAATCACTGGACCAAGAAGAGTTGGCAGCCGAGGGTGCTAACAGTCGGTGAAAAAAAATGTCCTCCGAGAAACTTTGGTACCTTCCCATAAAGTTCTTCTACCACCTCTCCACATAAAATTGGGATTGATGAAGGAATTCGTAAAATCACTTCCAAGGGATGGAGAATGCTTCCAATACTTGGTCACCAAGTTTCCAGGCCTGTCGGAGGCAGAATTGAAGGAAGGTGTGTTCGTCGGACCAGACATTAGAAGGATTCTAGTTGACCAAGAGTTTGTCAATACCATGAAGGATCCTCACAATACCATGATGGATCCTCACAATACCATGATGGATCCTCACAATACCATGAAGGATCCTCACAATACCATGATGGATCCTCACAATACCATGAAGGATCCTCACAATACCATGACGGATCCTCACAATACCATGACGGATCCTCACAATACCATGACGGATCCTCACAATACCATGACGGATCCTCACAATACCATGACGGATCCTCACAAAGAAGGGTGGATTGCATTTACAGAAGTCGTGCAGAAATTTTTAGGCAATAACAAAGATCCTCACTACAAAAAGATCGTCGGACGAATGCTGAAAGCATTTCAAGCTTTAGGTTGCCTGATGAGTTTGAAAGTGCATTTCCTCCAGTCCCACCTGAAAATTTGGGAGCTGTGAGTGAGGAACAAGGAGAACGATTCCACCAAGACATTCAAGAGATGGAAAGGAGATACCAGGGAAAATGGAGCATTCCAATGATGGCAGACGACTGTTGGAGGCTTCAGAGAGACATTCCAGATGCTACTCACAAGCGTAAATGCACCAAGAGGAGCCTCACAGGGAAGAAGAATCGAGGTTCGTGTGTGTAGGTGAGATCATTTCAGTTCAAAAAAGGATTTTCATGAAAAAATTGTAATAAAACTTTAATTTTATAAGTCTATTTCTATTTATTTTGAGGGTATTGCCTTATTTAACATAGTTACCTGGACCAAGAAGAGTTGGCAGCCGAGGGTGCTAACAGTCTGTGAAAAAAATGTCCTCAGAAGAGCTTTATGGGAAGGTACCAAAGTTTCTCGACCACCTCTCCACATAAAATTGGGATTGATGAAGCAATTCGTAAAATCACTTCCAAGAGATGGAGAATGCTTCAAATAATTGGTCAGCAAGTTTCCAGGCCTGTCGGAGGCAAAATTGAAGGAAGGTGTGTTTGTCGGACCAGACATTAGAAGGATTCTAGTTGACCAAGAGTTTGTCAATACCTTGACGGATCCTCACAATACCACGACGGATCCTCACAGTACCACGACGGATCCTCACAGTACCACGACGGATCCTCACAGTACCACGACGGATCCTCACAGTACCACGACGGATCCTCACAGTACCACGACGGATCCTCACAGTACCACGACGGATCCTCACAGTACCACGAAGGATCCTCACAGTACCACGACGGATCCTCACAGTACCACGACTGATCCTCACAATACCACGAAGGATCCTCACAATACCACGACGGATCCTCACAATACCACGAAGGATCCTCACAATACCACGACGGATCCTCACAATACCACGACGGATCCTCACAATACCAAGACGGATCCTCACAATACCAAGACGGATCCTCACAATACCATGACGGATCCTCACAATACCATGACGGATCCTCACAAAGAAGGGTGGATTGCATTTACAGAAGTCGTGCAGAAATTTTTAGGCAATAACAAAGATCCTCACTACAAAAAGATCGTCGGACGAATGCTGAAAGCATTTCAAGCTTTAGGTTGCCTGATGAGTTTGAAAGTGCATTTCCTCCAGTCCCACCTGAAAATTTGGGAGCTGTGAGTGAGGAACAAGGAGAACGATTCCACCAAGACATTCAAGAGATGGAAAGGAGATACCAGGGAAAATGGAGCATTCCAATGATGACAGACGACTGTTGGAGGCTTCAGAGAGACATTCCAGATGCTACTCACAAGCGTAAATGCACCAAGAGGAGCCTCACAGGGAAGAAGAATCGAGGTTCGTGTGTGTAGGTGAGATCATTTCAGTTCAAAAAAGGATTTTCGTGAAAAAATTGTAATAAAACTTTAATTTTATGTCTATTTCCATTTATTTTGAGGTATTGCCTTATTTAACATAGTTGCCTAAATTGTCAGGAAAGTGATGTCCTATGACAAAATGGAGGTCATTTTCGGATTCAGAGAACCAAAAAAACATAAAGATTACGTGGAATAACCAAAACAGCTCTTGAAAAAAATTTTTTTGCAGACCTGTGTAATTACTAAAAGGTAAAAAAAAGAAATCTTCTGATCCAGGGAACAGAGTTGACCACAGTGGGGGGGAGGGGTTCTTCTCATTCTCCTCTGGACCAAACCTGTAAGACTTGTGAGGAAGGGGGGAGGGGATTTGATGGGCATCATCAGTCTTCACAAAGTATATGTATAGTCAACAACACATTGGGTTTGGTTTGTCACCAGAGCATCCCCACCGAATAATTTTCCACCACCTCCAGTTCTGGGGACAATTGTAACATTTTAGATTTCCCCTCAATTTCCGTCCCCGTGATGATGGTCACCAGGAGAAACAGAGGGGGCGGATCTGACAACGACTGTCGTTTATTATGACATCGTTTCCCCAGTCTGGAAGAAGTGTGGATTGTTGGTCTGTCTGCAGGAAATATGAATTCTTTTCACCTTTGTTGAGTTGATGGAACAATTGCCCAAAGGCTGATGAATGTCCAAGATGGCCACCTCAATATTTCCAATAAGAATAATAAGGACTTGGGAGCCACAAATGGCCCTCGCTGGTCCATCACATGGAATACATCTCATTGTTCTTACCTGTTTCCAGCTGTCTGATCTTCGCTCCAGCACGAATGTCTGCGATGTCGTCATCCCCGGGTTGGTGTCTTTGTAGTCGTTCAGCAGCCTCAGGATGGGGTACTGGGTGCTGTATCTGTCGTTACAAATTCACAAAATGTTATTTCAGGACTAAAAGGACTTTGAAGGACACGGAGAAGTCCTCCTTCCTCTACAGCCCACCCTCACGGGACGCGGAGAGGCCCTCCTTCCTCTACAGCCCACCCTCGCGGGACGCGGAGAATTCCTCCTTCCTCTACAGCCCACCCTCGCGGGACGTGGCGAAGTCCTCCTCCCTCTACAGCCCACCCTCGCGGGACGCGGAGATGTCCTCCTTCCTCTACAGCCCACCCTCGCGGGACGCGGAGATGTCCTCCTTCCTCTACAGCCCACCCTCGCGGGACGCGGAGAATTCCTCCTTCCTCTACAGCCCACCCTCGCGGGACGCGGCGAAGTCCTCCTTCCTCTACAGCCCACCCTCGCGGGACGCGGAGAAATCCTCATTCATTTACAGCCCACCCTCGCGGGACGCGGAGAAGTCCTCCTTCCTCTACAGCCAACCCTCGCGGGACGCGGAGAAGCCCTCCTTCCTCTACAGCCCACCCTCGCGGGACGCGGAGAGGCCCTCCTTTCACTACAGCCCACCCTCGCGGGACGCGGAGAAGTCCTCCTTCCTCTACAGCCCACCCTCGCGGGACGCGGAGAAGTCCTCCTTCCTCTACAGCCCACCCTCGCGGGACGCGGAGAAGTCCTCCTTCCTCTACAGCCCACCCTCGCGGGACGCGGAGAATCCTCCTTCCTCTACAGCCCACCCTCGCGGGACGCGGCGAAGTCCTCCTTCCTCTACAGCCCACCCTCGCGGGACGCGGAGAAGCCCTCCTTCCTCTACAGCCCACCCTCGCGGGACGCGGAGAAAGCCCTCCTTCCTCTACAGCCCACCCTCGCGGGACGCGGAGAAGCCTTCCTTTCACTACAGCCCACCCTTGCAGGACATGGAGAAGCCCTCCTTCCTCTACAGCCCACCCTTCCTAGCCAGGGACAGTAATAGGAGTGAAGTCCAAGGGATTCTGTTTAGGTGTTTTTTTTGGGGGGGGGGGGGGGTTTTAACCATCGCACGTTGTAAGCAAATTGTACATTTGGGCTATGTGCCATCTAGAACAGGAACCTTCAACATAGACAGGTCAAAGGTCACCTCTCAGATCCCACCATCCCTGTGCCGAGTTCCCGTGTCTGTACACCAACTGTGCCTATTATGAGGGCTTCCCACCATCCCTGTGCTGAGTTCCGGGTCTGTACACCCACTGTGCCCATTATGAGGGGTTCCCACCATCCCTGTGCTGAGTTCCGGGTCTGTACACCCACTGTGCCCATTATGAGGGGTTCCCACCATCCCTGTGCTGAGTTCCGGGTCTGTACGCCCGCTGTGCCCATTATGAGGGGTTCCCACCATCCCTGTGCTGAGTTCCCGGGTCTGTACACCTTCTGTGCCCATTATGATTATTTTGCCTGGAGTTGGGTTGCAGTTTGTTGGTGTGGACAGATGTATTTGGATACAATGAGGTTCTGGAATGGGGGGGTGGGGATGGAGGGAATGCTGGGAGTTGTAGTCATCTGGATGATGGTCATAGCGCTCTACTTACTTCCTTGTGATGACTTCCTGGGTGACGTTCTTCGACTCTCTCTGTGTGCGCAACCGAAGAAGTTCCTGCAGGAAACACGGAATGTAAAGAGCCATGCTCTGTTTTTTTCAAATACGTTTTTAGTTAAGTAAAACTCCAGGCCGTGTCCTGGGCAGCGTGGGGGAGGGGTCTCTGTACCCCAGCTGGGGAGATTTCACCTCCTTTGATGGTGATGGGTTGCATGAGGTATCACCAGATAAGGAAGTGAGGGTAAATCTCCCCAATGGAGACACTATTCCTCCCCGCCGACACCAATGATGGGGCACTATTCCTCCCGCCGACACCAATGATGGGGGCAGCATTCCTCCCACCGACACCAATGATGGAGCACTATTCCTCCCACTGACACCAATGATGGGGCACTATTCCTCCCGCCGACACCAATGATGGAGCACTATTCCTTTCACAGACACCAATGATGGGGCACTATTCCTCCCACCGACACCAATGATGGGGCACTATTCCTCCCACCGACACCAATGATGGGGCACCATTCCTCCCACCGACATCAATGATGGGGCACCATTCCTCCCACCGACATCAATGATGGGGCACCATTCCTCCCAATGACACCAATGATGGGGCACCATTCCTCCCACTGACACCAATGATGGGGGGCACCATTCCTCCCACTGACACCAATGATGGTGCACCATTCCTCCCACCGACACCAATGATGGGGCACTATTTCTCCCACCGACATCAATGATGGGGCACTATTCCTCCCACCGACATCAATGATGGGGCACTATTCCTCCCACCGACACCAATGATGGGGCACTATTCCTCCCACCGACACCAATGATGGGGCACTATTCCTCCCACCGACACCAATGATGGAGCACTATTCCTTTCACAGACACCAATGATGGAGCACTATTCCTTTCACAGACACCAATGATGGGGTACTATTTCTCCCATCGACATCAATGATGGGGCACCATTCCTCCCACCGACACCAAATATGGGGCACCATTCCTCCCACCGACACCAATGATGGGGCACCATTCCTCCCACCGACACCAATGATGGGGCACCATTCCTCCCACCGACATCAATGATGGGGCACCATTCCACCCAATGACACCAATGATGGGGCACCATTCCTCCCACTGACACCAATGATGGGGCACCATTCCTCCCACTGACACCAATGATGGTGCACTATTCCTCCCACTGACACCAATGATGGGGCACCATTCCTCCCACTGACACCAATGATGGGGCACCATTCCTCCCACTGACACCAATGATGGGGCACCATTCCGCCCACTGACACCAATGATGGGGCACCATTCCTCCCACTGACACCAATGATGGTGCACTATTCCTCCCACTGACACCAATGATGGGGCACCATTCCTCCCACTGACACCAATGATGGGGCACTATTCCTCCCACTGACACCAATGATGGGGCACTATTCCTCCCACTGACACCAATGATGGGGCACTATTCCTCCCACTGAAACCAGGACAGTTTCTTCTCCTGCTGGTCACAGTCCAGCCCCCCTAAAGTTTGAAGGACAGTGAACTGGCCCTTTGTTTAGAGACCCCTGAAATAGAGTATACAATGAAAAGGTTTTATATAAACATCTTTGTAGAGATGTTGACAAGTTTTGTCTTGAGTTGAGCTTTAAGTTAAACTATATAATAAATCCTATTCTGACCAAATATAAATGAGATCAAAATTCAATAACAGCACACACAGTGAAGGAAATGCGTATTTGCTCCCCGGCTGATGCTGAATGTTCGCCCCTCACACAGAAACGATCGGTCTAACAATGGAATGTTCGCCCCTCACACAGAAATGATCGGTCTAACAATGGAATGTTCGCCCCTCACACAGAAATGATCGGTCTAACAATGGAATGTTCGCCCCTCACACAGAAACGATCGGTCTAACAATGGAATGTTCGCCCCTCACGCAGAAATGATCGGTCTAACAATGGAATGTTCGCCCCTCACACAGAAATGATCGGTCTAACAATGGAATGTTCGGTGTAACACTGAGAGACAGAATACAACAACAAATTCAGCAGAAATGCGTCTAACAAATGATGACGGATCTGCATGTTCATGAGGGAAAGAAGGATTTGATCCCCTATCATTCAGCAGGATTTCTGGCTCCCAGGTGTCTCTCATACAGGTAACAAGCTGAGATTAGAAGCAGTCTCTTAAAGGGAGTGCAGCTAATCTCATTGTGTTACCTGTATAAAAGACACCTGTCCACAGGAGCCATCAAACCATCAGATTCCAAACTCTCCACCATGGCAAAGACCAAAGAGCTGTCCAAGGAGGTCAGGGACAAGATGGTAGACCTACACAAGGCTGGACTGGGCTACCAAACTATGGCCAAGCAGCTTGGTGAGAAGGTGACAACAGTTGGTGCAATCATTCACAAATGGAAGAAACACAAAACAAGTGTCAGTCTCCCTAGGTCTGGTGCACCATGCAAGATCTCACCTCGTGGAGTGTCAATGATCATGAGAACAGGGAGGAATCATCCCAGAACTACACGTGAGGATCTTGTCAATGATCTCCAGGCAGCTGGGACCACAGTCACCAAGAAAACAATTGGTAACACACTACGCCGACAAGGACTGAAATCCTGCAGTGCCCCCGCACGGTCCCTCTGCTCAAGAAAGCCCATGTCCAGGCCCGTCTGAAGTCTGCCACTGAACATCTGAATGATGCAGAGGAGGACTGGTGGGAAGTGTTGTGGTCAGAGGAGACCAAAATCCAGCTCTTTGGCATCAACTCAACTCGCCGTGTTTGGAGGAGGAGGAATGCTGCCTATGACCCCAAGAACACCATCCCAACTGTGAAACATGGTGGTGGAAACATTCTGCTTTGGGGGTGTTTTTCTGTAAGGGGACAGGACAACTGCACCACATCAAAGGGACGATGGACGGGGCAATGTACCCTCAAATCTTGGGTGAGAACCTTCTTCCCTCAGCCAGGGCATTGAAAATGGGTGGTGGATGGGTGTTCCAGCATGACAATGACCCAAAACACACACGCCAAGGCAACAAAGGAGCGGCTCAAGAAGAAGCACATTAAGGTCCTGGAGTGGCCTAGCCAGTCTCCAGACCTTCATCCGACTGAAAATCTGTGGAGGGAGCTGAAAGTTCGAGTTGCCGAACGTCAGCCACCAAACCTTAATGACTTGGAGAGGATCTGCCAAGAGGAGTGGGCCAAAATTCCTCCTGAGATGTGTGTGAACCTGGGGGCCAACTCCAGGAAACGTCTGACCTCTGTGATTGCCAACAAGGGATTGGCCACCAAGTACTACGTCATGTTTTGTGAAGGGGATCAAATCCTTCTTTCCCTCATGAACATGCAGATCCGTCATCATTTGTTAGACGCATTTCTGCTGAATTTGTTGTTGTATTCTGTCTCTCAGTGTTACACCGAACATTCCATTGTTAGACCGATCGTTTCTGTGTGAGGGGCGAACATTCCATTGTTAGACCGATCATTTCTGTGTGAGGGGCGAACATTCCATTGTTAGACCGATCATTTCTGTGTGAGGGGCGAACATTCCATTGTTAGACCGATCATTTCTGTGTGAGGGGCGAACATTCCATTGTTAGACCGATCGTTTCTGTGTGAGGGGCGAACATTCACCATCAGGGGGGAGCAAATACGCATTTCCTTCACTGTGTATATATATAGATAGATACACATATATATTATACAGCAGCTAAAACATCTGAAACATTGTATCGAATATAAACGGTCAGCAATCTATCCCATGAATATGACATTTGATGAGAAGACAGAAGTTCCGGTGTATGGGCGCTCTGTGATGGGTGCTCTGTGATGGGCGCTCTGTGATGGGCGCTCTGTGATGGGCGCTCTGTGATTGGCGCTCTGTGATTGGCGCTCTGTGATGGGCGCTCTGTGATGGGCGCTCTGTGATTGGCGCTCTGTGATGGGCGCTCTGTGATGGGCGCTCTGTGATGGGCGCTCTGTGATGGGCGCTCTGTGATGGGCGCTCTGTGATTGGTGCTCACCTCCTGCTGCCTCTTGATCAGCGAGTCTCTCTCCTCCAGCGAGGACGTCAGCTCCAGGAGCTTCATCTGCAGGTCGCTGCTGCTGCCTTGCTTCACCGTCATGTCGTGCTGGAACTTGGAGACCTGAGACTGAAGCAAACGTCACATCAACAGGTTTAGAAATCTGCTTCTCGCAGGAAAAAGGTCAGCCGGTCCCCCATTGTCAGCCTTACCCGCAGGGAGCGGACCTCCTTGTCCTTCTCCTCCCGGAGGTTCTCGATCATCTCCTTGTAATGTCGGGTCACCTCATCCGTCTTGGACTGCAGCATGGGGTTGGAGACGGTTTCGGTGACCTGCGCAGAAACAAAGACGCATCAAACAGCGGCCGCGCCAATGACAGCGACAAGTGCTGCACAAATATACAGAAGAGGACGCCCTGGACTCGCAGCAGTTCGCATGTCGGGAGAAGCAAAGCGTGTAAACACTTAGAGACACTTTGGGGCCCGTTTATAAAACATTCGTGGACCGAACGTCGAACATTTGTTGCGAGGCGACCCAAATTCCCCCGTATTTCTTCTAATAGAGTCATTCCAATGATGTGGTGCCCTATCACACGGGGCTGCCCTATCACATGTTGTCCAATCAGAGATATAAAGGGGTCTACTGATAAAACATTCCCTCCAGCTGCCTGAAATTTCCCCGTATTTCTTCTAATAGACTCATTCCTATAGAGCCAGCTCCACCTAGTGGCCAAAATGCGGCGCAGCTTTCTGAAATTCCTCAATGAGAAAATATACCGCATTTCGGTCACTAGATGGAGCCGACTTGCTGATTCTATAGGAATTGCTCTATTAGGAAAATTACGGGGGAATTCAGCCAGGATGCAGAAATGCTTTAAAAAATGAACCCCTTTATATCTCCTCACTTAGAGGAAAAGTGAAAATCCATGTGCTGATGACCCCCCCCCCCCCCCTTCATGTTATGGGGATGAAGAGAGGGGGAGGGGCTATGTAGGTGAAATTTAGGAGAGCAGCTTAGAGTGACAACGCTGTTTCTCAATAAAGTGCAGTGGGTGAGTGTTGTCACCCCAGGACAGGAAGTGTGAAAATAAATGTGCTGATGACTCCTCCCCCCTTCATATTATGGGGATGAAGAGAGGGGGAGGTGTTATGTAGGTGAAATTTAGGAGAGCCACAGGGGTGTCAAACTGGCGGCCCTCCAGCTGTTGCGAAACTACAAGTCCCATCATGCCTCTGCCTTTGGGAGCCATGCTTGTAACTGTCAGTCATGCAATGCCTCATGGGACTTGTAGTTTCGCAAAAAGCTGGGGCCGCCAGTTTGACACCTGTGGCTTAGAGTGACAACGCTGCTTCTCAACATGTGCAATGGGTGAGTGTTGTCACCCCAAGACAGGAAGTGTGAAAATAAATGTGCTGATGACTCCTCCCCCCTTCATATTATGGGGATGAAGAGAGGGGGAGGTGTTATGTAGGTGAAATTTAGGAGAGCCACAGGGGTGTCAAACTGGCGGCCCTCCAGCTGTTGCGAAACTACAAGTCCCATCATGCCTCTGCCTTTGGGAGCCATGCTTGTAACTGTCAGTCATGCAATGCCTCATGGGACTTGTAGTTTCGCAAAAAGCTGGGGCCGCCAGTTTGACACCTGTGGCTTAGAGTGACAACGCTGCTTCTCAACATGTGCAATGGGTGAGTGTTGTCACCCCAGGACAGGAAGTGTGAAAATAAATGTTCTGATGACTCCTCCCCCCTTCATGTTATGGGGATGAAGAGAGGGGGAGGAGTTATGTGGGTGAAATTTAGGAGAGCAGCTTAGAGTAGAGGTGTCAACTGGCGGCCCTCCAGCTTTAAGTGGATGAAGTGACAGTGAAGACTCCAATCCGGAGGAGACACAATGCTGCAGGTAACAACAACATTCAGATCTCCTCCAACATCTGAGATCAGCAACGCCCACAATCATGTCCGCCCCCCGGAGGTCTTACCTGGACCCGCAGATTCTTGTTCTCCTGCTGCATGGCGTTCTTGGCGTACTCCAGCTCCTTCAGTCGGTATTCTCTGTCGCTGTCAGCGTTGCGCAGGGAGGAGATCGTCTCGTCCAATCCGCGCTGCTTCATCTGACTGTCCTTCAATTCTTGCTGGGGGGACAAGAGAGCCGGGATTATAGGGGGGTGGGGGGAGTCCCTGGGAGCCGGGATTATAGGGGGGTGGGGGGGAGTCCCTGGGAGCCGGGATTATAGGGGGGTGGGGGGAGTCCCTGGGAGCCGGGATTATAGGGGGGTGGGGGGTGTTCCTGGGAGCCGGGATTATGGGGGGGGGTGTCCCGGGGAGCTGGGATTATAGGGGGGTGGGGGGTGTTCCTGGGAGCCGTGATTATAGGGGGGGTGTCCCGGGATTATAGGGGGGTGGGGGGTGTTCCTGGGAGCCGGGATTATAGGGGGGTGGGGGGGGGGAGTCCCTGGGAGCTGGGATTATAGGGGGGTGGGGGGGGAGTCCCTGGGAGCCAGGATTATAGGGGGGTGGGGGGTGTTCCTGGGAGCCGGGATTATGGGGGGGTGTCCCGGGGAGCTGGGATTATAGGGGGGTGGGGGGTGTTCCTGGGAGCCGGGATTATAGGAGGGGTGTCCCGGGATTATAGGGGGGTGGGGGGTGTTCCTGGGAGCCGGGATTATAGGGGGGTGTCCCGGGGAGCCTGGATTATAGGGGGGGGGGGTCCCTGGGAGCTGGGGTCACCTCTCTACTTCCCCAGACAGAGGCCAGTACAGTGCCTTGGAAAATTTTTCACACAACATGAAATGTCATGTCACCCCCATGTTGTCATGTTACAATGTATTCCCCCCCCCGAAATGCCCCCCATTTGGTCATGTTACAATGTATCCCCCCCCCATGTTGTCATGTTACAATGTATTCCCCCCCCCGAAATGCCCCCCATTTGGTCATGTTACAATGTATCCCCCCCCCCCGTTGTCATGTTACAATGTACCCCCCCCATGTTGTCATGTTACAATGTATCCCCCCCCCGTGTTGTCATGTTACAATGTATCCCCCCCCCCCGTGTTGTCATGTTACAATGTACCCCCCCCATGTTGTCATATTACAATGTATCCCCCCCCCCCATGTTGTCATGTTACAATGTATCCCCCCCATGTTGTTATGTTACAATGTATCCTCCCCTCCATGTTGTCTTGTCACAATGTATCCCCCTCCATGTTGTCATGTTACAATGTATCCCCCCCCATGTTGTCATGTTACAATGTATCCCCCCCCATGTTGTCATGTTACAATGTATCCCCCCCCATGTTGTCATGTTACAATGTATCCCCCCCCATGTTGTCATGTTACAATGTATCCCCCCCCATGTTGTCATGTTACAATGTATCCCCCCCCATGTTGTCTTGTCACAATGTATCCCCCTCCATGTTGTCTTGTCACAATGTATCCCCCTCCATGTTGTCATGTTACAATGTATCCCCCCCCATGTTGTCATGTTACAATGTATCCCCCCCCATGTTGTCATGTTACAATGTATCTATCGGGATTGGATGTGATAGGCCGACACAAAGTGGCACATAATTGTGAAGTGGAAGGATAATGAGAAATGGTTTCCAACATTTGTGACAATAAATCTGTGAAAAGTGTGGGGGACATTTGTATTCGGCCCCCCGGAGTCAATACTTTGTAGGACCCCCTTTGGCTGCCATTCCAGCTGCAAGTCTTTTTGGGGATGTCTCTTTGCACATCTAGAGAGGGACATTTCTGCCCGTTCTTCTTTGCAGAATCCCTCAAGCTGTCAGATTGGATGGAGGGCGTCTGGGAACAGCAATTCTCAGGTCTGGCCACAGATCCTCCATTGGATTTGGGTCTGGACTGTGACTGGGCCATTCTAACACATGAAGATGCTTTGATCGGAACCATTCCATTGTAGCTCTGGCTGGATGTTTCGGGTCGTTGTCCTGCTGGAAGGGGAACCTCCGCCCCGGTCTCAAGTCTTCTGCAGACTCCAACAGGTTTTCTTCTAAGATTGCCCTGTATTTGGCTCCATCCATCTTCCCATCAACTTTGACCAGCTTCCCTGTCCCTGCTGAAGAAACACATCCTCACCACATGATGCTGCCACCACCATGGTTCACAGTGGGGATGGTGTGTTCAGGGGGATGGGCAGTGTTAGTTTTCCCCACACATAGCGTTTTGCTTTGAGGCCAAAAAGTCCCATTTTGGTCTCCTCTGAGCAGAGCCCCTTCTTCCACATGTTTGCTGTGTCCCCCACATGGCTTCTCACAACCTGCAGACGGGACTTCTTATGGCTTTCTTCCAACAATGGCTTCTTCTTGTCACTCTTCCATGAAGGCCGGATTTGTGGAGTGACGACTAATAGTTGTCCTGAGGACAGATTCCCCCCCCTGAGCTGTGATCTCTGCAGCTCCTCCACAGTTCCCATGAGCCTCTTGGCTGCTTCTCTGATGAATGCTCTCCTTGCCCGGCTTGTCAGTTTAGGTGGACGGCCATGTCTTGGTAGGTTGGCAGTTGTGCCGTACTCTTCCCATTTTCGGATGATGGATTGAACACAGTGCTCTGTGAGATGGGCAAAGCTTGGGAGATTTTTTTTTATAACCTAACCCTGTTTTAAACTTCTCCACAACTTTATCCCTGACCTGTCTGGTGTGTTTCCTTGGCCTTCATGATGCTGTTTGTTCACTAATGTTCTCTAACAAACCTCTGAGGGCTTCACAGAACAGCTGGATGTATACTGAGATCACATGACACACAGGGGGACTCTGTTTACTAATCAGGTGACTTCTGAAGGCAATTGGTTCCACTAGATTTTAGTTAGGGGTATCAGAGTAAAGGGGGCCGAATACAAATGCCGACACGTTTTTACAGATTTATTGGTCTCAAATGTTGGAAACCATTTCTCATTTTTCTTCCACTTCACAATTATGTGCCGCTTTGTGTCGGTCCATCACATCCAATCCCAATAAATACATTGATGGTTCTGGTTGTCACGTGACAAGATATGGAAAAGATCAGGGGGTGTGAAGACTTTTTCAAGGCTCTGTAGAACTATGGCCATAATGTAAAGATTTTATTTGTAGGTCTGTGTCCCGCTGGGGAGAGACCAAAATGGGAACAGAGAGGAAGTCTCTCCAAGCGTTTCGGAGGCCAAGCGCACCCCCCCTTCATTGGGGCTTTTTAAAGTCATTTCCCCATACTTTGGGCAACAAGGTTACTTTGGCCGGGTGCTGGGGGACACCCAGAATGGACTGGTGGCAATAAATTGATATTAATCGTCCAGAACTTTCAGCAGCTGATGTAACCACTTACCGCGCATGCAGCTTATTCATCTAATATGTATAGGGTCCAGTTTATTCTGGTGCCATGATCACTGCCCCAGGTTAGGGTGGCTCCTTTCTCTTGCAGCCCCCTATGGAGCCATCCTTGCATGCAGGGACTAGAGCTGTGTCTCCTACACTGTGTGCATCAATAGAAACACACAATCCCATAGTCTAGGATGGCAAAGCACCACCTACTCCTCTCTCCTTCTCCCCCTCCCTTCTACAGAATGACTGCAGACTGCACTGTACACTGTTAATACTTGATGTTAGGACCAGAAATTCAGGAAAGCAGCACTGAGAGAGCAGAAGGTGGCAGCACTGAAAGCTGTAAACTGCAAGTGCTGGGATGAGAATTTTAATAGTGTATTAGGGAATGTTTATTTTACTGTGTTCAGTGTGCTAAACTAAAAGGCCCAGAGGGTTCAATACTTCCTTAAATGGCACTGTCCAATCACACAGTGTCCTATCAAATGGTGCTGTCCAATCACACAGTGTCCTATCAAATGGTGCTGTCCAATCACACAGTGTCCTATCACATGGGGCTGTCCAATCATATGGCTTCCTATCACATCGGGCTGTCCAATCACATGGCATCCTTTCACATGGGGGTCTCTTATCACATGGGGCTGTCCTATCACATGCCCTGTTAGATGGTGCTGTCCAATTACACAGTTTCCTATCAAGTGGTGCTGTTCAATCACATGGTGCCCCATCATATGGGGCTGTCCAATCATTTGGCATCCTATCACATGGGCTGCCCAATCACACTGTGTCCTATCACATGGGGCTGTCCAGTCATGTGGTGTCCAATCACCTGGCATCTAATCACATGGGGCTGTCCTATCACATGCTGTCGTCCAATCCCATGGGGTCCTATCACATGGGGCTGTCCTATCACATGGAGCTCATCAGATGGTGCTGTCCAATCACACAGTGTCCAATCACAGGGGGTTGTCCAATCAAACAGTACCCTATCACATAATGCCCCTTCGGATGGTGTGGTCCAATCACACAGTGTCCAATCAAACATTGCCCTATCACATGGGGCTGTCCAGTCACATGGTCTCCTATCACATGGAGCTGTCCAGTCACATGGTCTCCTATCACATGGAGCTGTCCAGTCACATGGTCTCCTATCACATGGGGCTGTCCAGTCACATGGTCTCCTATCACATGGGGCTGTCCAGTCACATGGTCTCCTATCACATGGGGCTGTCCAATCACATGGTCTCCTATCACATGGTGCTGTCCAATCACATGGTACCCATCAGATGGGGCTGTCCAATCACACATGGTGCCCTATCATTAGGTGCCATTCGGTGTCCTATCACACAGGATTGTCCAATCACATGCCATCCTCATGTCCTATAAGGGGTCGGCGTTACCTGCTGCAGGCGGTTCTTCTCCCTCAGGGAGGCCAGGATGGTCTCGTATTCTCTGATCTGGTCGTCCTTGAAGCTCAGATCTCCCTCCAGAGACTTTTTGGCAGTTTCTAATTTCTGCAAAAAGAAACATTTTGTATCAGAAATCCACCGAACAAAAAGTTCCACCACAGGAAGAAAAGTCGTCACTCGATACACAACGAACAGTCACGTCGTTCCACATTCCTGGAGTTTAGGACCCCTCTGGCTGATAGACATGCCAACCGCTGCTCAGATCGCGCCAGCATGACGACCACCTCCATACGTCTATGACCACCTTTAGGGGAAGGGAGACATTCTTGGATTTAGGGTCAGAGCTCCGCCCCCTTGGTCTCTGCACTGGCTGGCGATGCCAGTAGGGGGCAGAGTTGATATTCTTCTGCATACACTATGAGATGGGACTGGAGGTGATCACAGGTGACTCTTTGCTGTTCTCACTTGAACTTGTGTTGTGTGTTTCCCAGCCCCCGCCTGCACATATATATACAATATTCCTAATTCATGTTTTCCTGGTCTGACCTGTTACACGAACTCCCACACGTGCCAAGGTTTCGGTGCTTCTCCACCCAACACACCCCACATGACCCGTGACACCTAGAATATTTCCACGCTCACCTGACCGAGACACCCAGCATGTCCCCACATGACCCCAAAGCCCAGGAAACCTTACCTGACCATGACACCCAGCATGTCTCCACATGACCCCAATACCCAGGAGACCTCACCTGACCCAGTATGTCTCCACATGACCCCAATACCCAGGAGACCTCACCTGACCCAGTATGTCTCCACATGACCCCAATACCCAGGAAACCTCACCTGACCATGACACCCAGCATGTCTCCACATGACCCCAGTACCCAGGAGACCTCACCTGACCCAGTATGTCTCCACATGACCCCAATACCCAGGAGACCTCACCTGACCCAGTATGTCTCCACATGACCCCAATACCCAGGAGACCTCACCTGACCCAGTATGTCTCCACATGACCCCAATACCCAGGAGACCTCACCTGACCGAGACACCCAGCATGTCCCCACATGACCCCAAAGCCCAGGAAACCTCACCTGACCATGACACCCAGCATGTCTCCACATGACCCCAATACCCAGGAGACCTCACCTGACCCAGTATGTCTCCACATGACCCCAATACCCAGGAAACCTCACCTGACCATGACACCCAGCATGTCTCCACATGACCCCAATACCCAGGAGACCTCACCTGACCCAGTATGTCTCCACATGACCCCAATACCCAGGAGACCTCACCTGACCCAGTATGTCTCCACATGACCCCAATACCCAGGAGACCTCACCTGACCATGACACCCAGCATGTCTCCACATGACCCCAATACCCAGGAAACCTCACCTGACCGAGACACCCAGCATGTCTCCACATGACCCCAATACCCAGGAAACCTCACCTGACCGAGACACCCAGCATGTCTCCACATGACCCCAATACCCAGGAAACACCTGACCGAGACACCCAGCATGTCCCCACATGACCCCAATGCCCAGGAAACCTCACCTGACAGTGACACCCAGCATGTCTCCACATGACCCCAATACCCAGGAAACCTCACCTGACACCCAGTGTTTCTCCATGTGACCCCAATATCCAGGAAACCTCACATGACCCCAAAACCTCACCTGACCGTGACACCCAGCATGTCTCCACATGACCCCAATACCCAGGAAACCTCACCTGACACCCAGTGTTTCTCCATGTGACCCCCAATATCCAGGAAACCTCACATGACCCCAAAACCTCACCTGACCGAGACACCCAGCATGTCTCCATGTGACCCCAATACCCAGGAAACCTCACCTGACCAAGCATGTCTCCACGTGACCCCAGTACCCAGGAAACCTCACCTGACCGAGACACCCAGCATGTCTCCACGTGACCCCAGTACCCAGGAAACCTCACCTGACCGAGACACCCAGCATGTCTCCACGTGACCCCAGTACCCAGGAAACCTCACCTGACCGTGACACCCAGCATGTCTCCACATGACCCCAATACCCAGGAAACCTCATCTGACCGAGACACCCAGCATTTCTCCGCATGACCCCAATACCCAGGAAACCTCACCTGACCGTGACACCCAGCATGTCTCCACATGACCCCAATACCCAGGAAACCTCACCTGACCGAGACACCCAGCATTTCTCCACGTGACCCAAATACCCAGGAAACCTCACCTGACCGAGACACCCAGCATGTCTTCATGTGGCCCCAATATCCAGGAAACCTCACCTGACTGACACCCAGCATGTCTCCACATGACACCAATACCCAGGAAACCTCACCTGACTGACACCCAGCATGTCTCCACATGACCCCAATACCCAGGAAACCTCACCTGACCGAGACACCCAGCATTTCTCCACGTGACCCCAATACCCAGGAAACCTCACCTGACCATGAAACACAGCATGTCTTCATGTGGCCCCAATATCCAGGAAACCTCACCTGACTGACACCCAGCATGTCTCCACATGACACCAATACCCAGGAAACCTCACCTGACTGTGAAACACAGCATGTCTTCATGTGGCCCCAATATCCAGGAAACCTCCCTTGTCTGTGACACCCCATGTGTCATTGTGACCCAAATACCCAGAAAACCTCACTTGACTGACATCCAGCATGTCTTCATGTGACCCCAATATCCTGGAAACCTCACCTGACTGACACCCAGCATGTCTTCATGTGACCCCAATACTAAGGAAACCTCACCTGACTGTGACACCCAGCATACACCTATGTGACCCCTGAACCCAGGAAAGCTAACCTGACCACAATACAGCCTACATGACCCTGACACCTGCATACTCACATGACCCAGAAATCCAGCAGACCCCCATGTGATCTTGACACTCAGCATGCCCTCATATGACCGAGCACCCAAGGAACCTCACCGGACCCGGACATCCAGCATGCCCCCACATGACAATGACTCCCAGCATTCTGCTATGTGACCCTATCACCCAGTACACTTCACCTGACTACAACACCCAGCAGAGTCCCCACGGCCCTGACACTTAAGAAACCTCATCTGACCACAACCCCCCAGCAGAGCCCATGTGACCCCAACACCCAGGAAACTTCACCTGAGACACCCAGCACAACCCCCATCACCCCCACACTCAGGAAAGTTCACCTGATTGTGACACCCAGCTCACCTTACCTGACCTCGACAAACCTGCATATCCCTCATGACCCCGACAACCTTGTACATCCCACGTGACCCCGACAACCTCGCGCGTCCCGCGTGACCCCGACAACCTCGCGCGTCCCGCGTGACCCCGACAACCTCGCGCGTCCCGCGTGACCCCGACAACCTCGTGCGTCCCGCGTGACCCCGACAACCTCGCGCGTCCCGCGTGACCCCGACAACCTCGCGCGTCCCGCGTGACCCCGACAACCCTGCATATCCCTCATGACTCCGACAACCTTTTACGTCCCACGTGACCCCGACAACCTCGCACGTCCCACGTGACCCCGACAACCTCGCACGTCCCACGTGACCCCGACAACCCTGCATATCCCTCATGACCCCCGACAACCTCGTACATTCCACGTGACCCTGACACTCAGCACACTACACAAGACCCAACCGCCCAGCTCACCCTATCTGTCCCATACACTCAGCATACCTCATCGGACCCCAACACCCAGCATACCCCGAGTCCCAACACCAAGCACGACCACCACCACCACCGATGGTCACCAGACTCCATCCCTCTACCTACCCACCCATCATCCACCACCCAGACCTGCATGTCGATTTATTTTTAGCTCTTACGAAAACGACTCTTCACCCAAAATACCGAATGCTCTGTAAAAGGTCATCAGTTTAAATTTTTTTCAAACAAAAACCAATCGAACCAGATGGACTTCTGTCTTTTTTCAGCCAGACTAACTATGTAAAAATAAATGGGAAACGATGGATTCAAAGCGCCTTTTCTGCAAATCTTTGGTGGGCAATTCAGTCGTTGTATTTGCGCCAGTCGCGTTGGTTAACCTTGTACGCCGGCGGTGTCGTCACCACTTACATTCAGATCGTCCTGTAAGTGTCCCAGTTCTTCCCGCAGGCTGCTGAAGGTGGCCAGAACGAGTTTCATCGACTTATCGGAGGTCTGCCTCATCTAACAATGATGGGAAAAAAAAAAACAGACAAATTATATTTTTTATATATATATATACAGTGGGGATCAAAAGTTTAAGCACCCCAGCTAAAAATTTGTATTAATGTGCATAAAGAAGCCAAGGAAAGATGGAAAAATCTCCAAAAGGCATCAAATTACAGATTAGACATTCTTATAATATGTCAACAAAAGTTAGATTTTATTTCCATCATTTACACTTTCAAAATAACAGAAAACAAAAAAATGGCGTCTGCAAAAGTTTGGGCCCCCTGCAGAGTTAATATCTTGTACTGCCCCCTTTGCAAAGCTGAGACCTGCCAGTGTCATGGATTGTTCTCAATCATCGTCTGGGAAGACCAGGTGATGTCAATCTCAAAGGTTTTAAATGCCCAGACTCATCTGACCTTGCCCCAACAATCAGCACCATGGGTTCTTCTAAGCAGTTGTCTAGAAAACTGAAACTGAAAATAGTTGACGCTCACAAAGCTGGAGAATGCTATAAGAAGATAGCAAAGCGTTTTCAGATGTCAATATCCTCTGTTCGGAATGTAATTAAGAAATGGCAGTCATCAGGAACAGTGGAAGTTAAAGCAAGATCTGGAAGACCAAGAAAAATATCAGACAGAACAGCTCGCAGCATTGTGAGAAAAACAATTCAAAACCCACGTTTGACTGCACGATCCCTCCAGAAAGATCTGGCAGACACTGGAGTTGTGGTCACTATTCCACTATAAAGAGATACTTGTACAAATATGGTCTTCATGGAAGAGTCATCAGAAGAAAACCTCTTCTACGTCCTCACCACAAAAATCATCGTTTGAACTTTGCAAATGAACATATAGACAAGCCTGATGCATTTTGGAAACAAGTTCTGTGGACCGATGAGGTTAAAATTGAACTTTTTGGCCGGAATGAGCAAAGGTACGTTTGGAGAAGAAGGGGCACAGAATTGAATGAAAAGAACCTCTGTCCAACTGTGAAGCATGGGGTTGGATCAATCATGCTTTGGGGTTGTGTTGCAGCCAGTGGCACAGGGAACATCTCACGAGTAGAAGGAAAAATGGATTCAATAAAATTTCAGCAAATTTTGGATGGTAACTTGATGCCATCCGTGAAAAAGCTGAAGTTAAAGAGAGGATGGCTTCTACAAATGGATAATGATCCTAAACACACCTGGAAATCCACGGGGGATTACATCAAGAGGCGTAAACTGAAGGTTTTGCCATGGCCTTCACAATCTCCTGACCTCAACATCATTGAAAATCTATGGATAGACCTTCAAAGAGCCGTGCGTGACAGACAGCCCAGAAATCTCAAAGAACTGGAAGACTTTTGTAAGGAAGAATGGGCAAAGATACCTCAAACAAGAACTGAAAGACTCTTGGCTGGCTACAAAAAGCGTTTACAAGCCGTGATACTTGCCAAAGGGGGCAGTACAAGATATTAACTCTGCAGGGGGCCCAAACTTTTGCAGACGCCGTTTTTTTGTTTTCTGTTATTTTGAAAGTGTAAATGATGGAAATAAAATCTAACTTTTGTTGACATATTATAAGAATGTCTAATCTGTAATTTGATGCCTTTTGGAGATTTTTCCATCTTTCCTTGGCTTCTTTATGCACATTAATACACATTTTTAGCTGGGGTGCCCAAACTTTCCATCCCCACTGTATATATATATATATGATAGATAAACTAGAAACAAATTAACAAAAAAAAAAAATCATAATAATAATTATTATATATATATATATATATATATATATATATATAACAGATGGATAAAATAGAAACAAAATTAACAAATAAATAATAATAAAATATATAAATAGAAAAATATAAAAGATGGATAAAATAGGAACAAATTAAAAAATAAATAAATAATAATAATAATAATAAAAATATATAAATAGAAAAATATAAAAGATGGCTAAAATAAAAAAAAATTAACAAATAAATAATTAATAATAATAAAAATATATAAATAGAAAAATATAAGATGGCTAAAATAGAAACAAATTAACAAATAAATAAATAAATAATAATAATAATAAAAATATATAAATAGAAAAATATAAAAGATGGCTAAAATAAAAAAAAATTAACAAATAAATAATTAATAATAATAAAAATATATATAAATAGAAAAATATAAGATGGCTAAAATAGAAACAAATTAACAAATAAATAAATAATAATAATAATAATAATAAAAATATATAAATAGAAAAATATAAAAGATGGCTAAAATAGAAACAAATTAACAAATAAATAATAATAAAAATATATAAATAGAAAAATATAAAAGATGGCTAAAATAGAAACAAATTAACAAATAAATATTAATAAAAATATATAAATAGAAAAATATAAAAGATGGCTAAAATAAAAAAAAATTAACAAATAAATAATTAATAATAATAAAAATATATAAATAGAAAAATATAAGATGGCTAAAATAGAAACAAATTAACAAATAAATAAATAAATAATAATAATAATAAAAATATATAAATAGAAAAATATAAAAGATGGCTAAAATAAAAAAAAATTAACAAATAAATAATTAATAATAATAAAAATATATAAATAGAAAAATATAAGATGGCTAAAATAGAAACAAATTAACAAATAAATAAATAATAATAATAATAATAATAAAAATATATAAATAGAAAAATATAAAAGATGGCTAAAATAGAAACAAATTAACAAATAAATATTAATAAAAATATATAAATAGAAAAATATAAAAGATGGCTAAAATAAAAAAAAATTAACAAATAAATAATTAATAATAATAAAAATATATAAATAGAAAAATATAAGATGGCTAAAATAGAAACAAATTAACAAATAAATAAATAAATAATAATAATAATAAAAATATATAAATAGAAAAATATAAAAGATGGCTAAAATAAAAAAAAAATAACAAATAAATAATTAATAATAATAAAAATATATAAATAGAAAAATATAAGATGGCTAAAATAGAAACAAATTAACAAATAAATAAATAATAATAATAATAATAATAAAAATATATAAATAGAAAAATATAAAAGATGGCTAAAATAGAAACAAATTAACAAATAAATAATAATAAAAATATATAAATAGAAAAATATAAAAGATGGCTAAAATAGAAACAAATTAACAAATAAATATTAATAAAAATATATAAATAGAAAAATATAAAAGATGGCTAAAATAGAAACAAATTAACAAATAAATAATGATAAAAATATATAAATAGAAAAATATAAAAAATGGATAAAATAGAAACAAATTAACAAATAAATAATAATGATAAAAATATATAAATAGAAAAATATAAAAAATGGATAAAATAGAAACAAATTAACAAAAAAAAAAGAAAAAGGAGCATTTGTGTTTTCTGAGGAGTCTCACCTGCAGCAGGTAGCGGATTTGCTGTTTGGTGAGTTCAGAGACGCCTTTAGGGATCAGCGATTCGATGTCTTCCTATAGGAGAGAAAAGAGAAGGACTCGGCGTCACACAGCGAATCGCCACAGCAGAGATCCAGGAACAGCCTCAAGTGGGATCTTCACCAACGATCGACCATCAAAGGGCCAAAACTCATCGTTTAGTGAGTAAAAAAAAAAGACTATTACATGTCAGGGCGAGGGAAAGGATACTATTTGTATTGATATCGTCAAGGGTGACAAGGGTGGAAAAAGATTTCGGGCATTTAAAAAAAAAAAAAATTCTGTCCATCTATCCGATAACTCAAATATTTCTACGAGTAAAAATATTGATTTGTAGAGCTTAAAGGAGAACCCCGAGCACCGTCATCTTACACGTCGTGATGCTAATCCAGTCTGGAGAAGCACCTCGGTTTACGAACGAAAATCCGTTGAAAATAACGCCTCAGTTTATGAATTTTTTACGAATTTTTTTTCGCGATACGAAGTGTATGTCGGCGCCGATTTTTAAATACAATTGCCGGCTTTTTTTTTCTTCACTAGAGCTCACAGAATTAGCTGTCACTTTCCCCGGAGCTGCAGGAAACTGTTTCTTTTAACTTGTGGAAATGAACTAAAAGGAAACTTTGTTTCTTTTATCTGGGTGGGAAAGTGACGGCTGATTCTCTGAGCGATAGTGAAGGAAAAAAAAAAGCGGTAATTACATTTAAAAACCAATTCCATGATAAATACAACAATGTCATACGAAGCCCTTCGGGTCTGGGGTGGATTTTGAGGGGAACTCCAACGCCAAAATTAAATTTTTAACACGTGCGCAGAGGGGCCTAATTGTTGAGTACACACAGACCGGCCAATCAGAGACCAGCACCAGCAGCGGTGTTCTTGCGAAAGAGAAGTGAAAGAGCGAATGAAAACGAATGAGCGGATGTAGAGGTTGTGACGTACCTGATACTCAGAATCCGACGGTTTCCTGCAAAACACAACACAAAGTCATTGATGCTGCATGAAGAATCATGAGAAATCACGGGGAATCACAGGGAGTCAGGGGGAATCACGGGGAATCACAGGAATCATGGGGAATCACGGGGATCATAGGGAATCATGGGGAATAACGGGGATCATGGGGAATCACGGGGATCATAGGGAATCACGGGGAATCACTGGAATCATGAGAAATCACGGGGAATCACAGGAATCATGGGGAATCATGGGGAATCACAGGAATCATGGGAAATCACAGGAATCATGGGAAATCACGGGGATCATAGGGAATCACGGGGAATCACAGGAATCATGGGGAATCACAGGAATCATGAGAAATCACGGGGAATCACAGGAATCATGGGGAATCATGGGGAATCACAGGAATCATGGGGAATCACGGGGATCATAGGGAATCATGGGGAATAACGGGGATCATGGGGAATCACGGGGATCATAGGGAATCATGGGGAATAACGGGGATCATGGGGAATCACGGGGATCATAGGGAATCACAGGGAGTCAGGGGGAATCACAGGAATCATGGGGAATAACGGGGATCATATGGAATCACGGGGAATCACTGGAATCATGAGAAATCACGGGGATCATAGGGAATCACAGGAATCATGGGGAATCACAGGAATCATGGGAAATCACAAGGATCATAGGGAATCACGGGGAATCACAGGAATCATGGGAAATCACGGGGATCATAGGGAATCACGGGGAATCACAGGAATCATGGGGAATCTTGGGGAGTCACAGGAATCATGTGGAATCATGGGGAATCACAGGAATCATGGGGAATCATGGGGAATCACAGAAATCATGGGGAATCTTGGGGAGTCATGGGGATCATGGGGAGTCAGGGGGAATCACAGGAATCATGTGTAATCATGGGGAATTACAGGAATCATGAGGAATCACGGGGAATCACATGAATCAAGGGGAATCATGAGGAATCACGGGGAATCACAGGAATCACGAGGAATCACAGGAATCATTGGGAATCACAGGGAATTACAGGAATCATGAGGAATCACAGGAATCATGGGGAGTCAGGGGGAATCATGGAAATCACTGGAACCATGGGAAAACATGTGGAATCATGGAGAATCACAGGAATCATGAGGAATCACATGAATCATTGGGAATCATGAGGAATCACAGGAATCACAGGAATCATGGGGAATCATGAGGAATCGCAGGCAATCATGGGGAAGTCATGCGGAATCACGGCTCGGAGCAATAACATGCAAGATAACCCTTTACAAAAAAAATAGACAAAACTGTTTTAATGTTTTTTATATTCCTAAATGAACCCGAGGGGGCAAAACAAATCTTAACGCTCAACTAAAACTTTGTACACCTTTGACCTTTGTTAGTAAAACCGAACCTCACCGCACCGCATCACCGCATCACCTCACCGCACCGCATCACCTCACCTCACCGCATCACCTCACCTCACCGCATCACCTCACCACACCGCATCACCTCACCGCATCACCTCACCACACCGCATCACCTCACCGCATCACCTCACCTCACCGCATCACCTCACCGCATCACCTCACCGCATCACCTCTCCTCACCGCATCACCTCACCGCATCACCTCACCACACCGCATCACCTCACCGCATCACCTCACCTCACCGCATCACCTCACCGCATCACCTCACCTCACCGCATCACCTCACCTCACCGCATCACCTCACCGCACCGCATCACCTCACCGCATCACCGCATCACCTCACCGCACCGCATCACCTTACCACATCACCTCACCGCACCGCATCACCTCACCTCACCGCACCGCACCGCATCACCTCACCTCACCGCACCGCATCACCTCACCGCATCACCTCACTGCACCGCATCACCGCACCGCATCACCTCACTGCACCGCATCACCGCACCGCATCACCTCACTGCACCGCATCACCGCACCGCATCACCTCACCGCAGCACCTCACCGCACCACATCACCTCATCACCTCACTGCACCGCATCACCTCACCTCACCGCAGCACCTCACCGCATCACCTCACCTCACCGCAGCACCTCACCGCACCACATCACCTCACTGCACCGCATCACCACAACGACTTTGTGCATCCGGGTGAATTATGCCGCATTTTTATTTTTTCAGGACAAGTTGGACTTTCATTTGGTGGTAAAGAGTAATGAATATCTCCTTTTTTATCAAAGTAAAACTGTCCCAAAAGAGTAAAAAAAATTGTTTTTGTTTTAATTTAGTTGTGTTTCTTGTTACTACCATAACCCGCCACCAGAGAACCCTAAAAAGATTCTCCAGCTCCTGCCGATCGCAGCGACACCACGTGTGTGGATGTTAGTTGTTGTTTGTACCCGGAGTGCGGCCCAGAAACAATAGCGCGCATTTTGCTTTTTTGACTGACACGAAGGCCACGTTCACACCTGTGCAGTTTGCGTTTGATTTGTTTCTGCCGTGCGTTTTTGATGTGATTTGCGGTTTTATTTTTTCACCAAGTTGTTGCTGGGCAGATTAAAAAACACAAAACGCATTAAAAAAAAGTGCCAAAAATGCATGCAAAACGCAGCACTTGTGTTTTATATGCAGTTTCAATGAAGTCTATTGGACTAAAAAAAAAACACAAACTGCGGGAAAAAAAGTCCCTGACCCTTTCCAAATAAAAGGCACGCAGAAAAAACTGCACAGATGTGAACGCGATCCGTTGGAAATCATGACCAATGGCGTGCGCTGCGTTCCTGCAAAACGCACTAAAAAAACTTCACATGTGTGAACCTGGCCTTAGTGACCGATTTAAAAATCGCACGATTTGTGCGCAATTTCTGCTGCGATTTCTGAAGACTTTATTGCGACTTGTGAAGATTTATAACTTTTTCTTGCGATTTCCATTATACTCAGCCCGGGTTCACACTGACGCGGTGCGGAATTTGCAGCGTTTTCTGTGCGAATTCCGCATCGCATCAGAATCGCCCCCCGTTCATGCGAACCGCGGCGGGTGTGTATGTTACGTTAACAACACCCTGTAAGCAGTCCGTAAAGTGCGGTGCGAGGTGCAGAATCGGATCGCATTAGATGTGAATACCCGTGCGATCCGATTCTAGTGCGGACCCAAAAAAAGAATCCTGCGCGTTTTTGGTGCGGGGGGATTAGAGCCGTACAAAATGTACGACCGCACAAAAATCGCATGTGATGAGGAAGGCGGTGCGGTTCCGGTACGAATCACATGTGATGAGGAAGGCGGTGCGGTTCCGGTACGAATCACATGCGATATACCGCACCGCATGTATGTGAACCCGGGCTGAAGGATCCTATTGTGTGCTTTCAGCTGCTCGTGGGAAGGAGAGGAGGGAAGCCGGCAGCACTGCGGGGGGTGGGGGGCAGCAGGGGGAACGTATAGTGCACAGGGAGGGAGGGGTGGTGGGTGCAGCGGGAGCAATTACTGGAACCGATCCCCTGTATGGCTCTCCCTGCAGCAGCTGTCAGCCAGCGGGAGGGAGAAGAGGGAAGCCAGCAGCACTGCGGGGGGGTGGGGGGCAGCAGGGGGAACGTATAGTGCACAGGGAGGGAGGGTGGTGGGTGCAGCGGGGGCAATTACTGGAACCGATCCCCTGTATGGCTCTCCCTGCAGCAGCTGAAAGCCAGCGGGAAGGAGAGGAGGGAAGCCGGCAGCACTGCGGGGGGTCTGGGCAGCAGGGGGAATGTATAGTTCACAGGGAGGGTGATGGATGAACTGGGGGCAACTACTGGAACCGATCCCCTGTATGGCTCTCCCTGCAGCAGCTGTCAGCCAGCGGGAAGGAGAGGAGGGAAGCCAGCAGCACTGCTGGGGTGGGGGGCAGCAGGGGGAACGTATGGTGCACAGGGAGGGTGATGGGGGCATTTACTCGAACCGATCCCCTGTATGGCTCTCCCTGCAGCAGCTGAAAACCAGCGGGAGGGAGAGGAGAAGCCAGCTTTCAGCTGCTGCAGGGAAAGCCATACAGGGGATCGGTTCCAGTAATTGCCCCCCTCGCCATGTCGATCACCCTCCCTGCCCACCTCCCATTCACCCAGCCGCCTGAGCCCCGTACAGGAGGGCTGGTGGTGCCCCCTCATCCACAGCCCTGCTAATAGGTGTCCCTCGTTCCCTTCTCAGAAAGCTGGGAGGTGTGATATAGCCGGGGAGGGAGAGGAGGCGCCCGGGCTGCGGTGAGGGGTAGGAGTACCTGGCGCCGATCTTCTCCACGTGTTGCAGGAGGCAGCTGTACAGGTCGTTGTTCTTGCGGCTGAGTTCCGCCAGGAGTTCCCCGAAGTAACGCGCGTCCAGCTGTTCGGGCCCCGAGACGGAGCTGTTCCTCTTCTTCACCTGCAGAGCAGAGATCTCATTATTTCAGGTATTCTATAGCGCCGTCCGTCTACATATATTGTACATTCCCATCCGGTCAGGAATCGAGCCGCGGTCCAATCGGATTCTACGGCTCAAACCGCAACCCATCCGCGCCAAAATAGGGCAGGACTCTTTTTTTTTTTTGTCTGTAACAGAATCGGATCGCATTGGCTGTGAACACATCAGACTCTGTACATCGCACCGCGTTATGCAACCAATTTCAGGGCGTTTGTTAACCTCTCGGTGTCGGCCGAACGCAAATATGTATCTGAGTCTAGACGCCGAGCGGCCGCACATTTGCGTTCTATTAAAAAAACATATGTGCTGAGAGCGCGCTCCCTGCCCCCTCCCAGCACGCAAGGAAAGGTCCAGATCTCCTCTTTCGACCGGGACCTTTCCCGATCATGTGACCACCGTGACGGCGAATCACGGCAGTCACATGACCCTAAAACCCCACCCCGCCTCCCGGCTTCTGGGTTCTGGAACCCTTAAAGGGCCAGCAGGCCCCAGCGATCAGACTGTACATTGCAACTTTGTTGAAGGAGGAGGAGACATTTCCTCAGTCTCCTCCCCCAGTGATCAGACTGTACATTGTAACTTTGTAGAAGGAGGAGGAAGCATTTCCTCAGTCTCCTCCCCCGGTGATCAGACTGTACATTGTAACTTTGTAGAAGGAGGAGGAAGCATTTCCTCAGTCTCCTCCCCCGGTGATCAGACTGTACATTGTAACTTTGTAGAAGGAGGAGGGGGCATTTCCTCAGTCTCCTCCCCCGGTGATCAGACTGTACATTGTAACTTTGTAGAAGGAGGAGGAGGAGTCATTTCCTGAGTCTCTCCTCCCCCAGTGATCAGACTGTACATTGTAACTTTGTAGAAGGAGGAGGGGGCATTTCCTCAGTCTCCTCCTCCAGTGATCAGACTGTACATTGTAACTTTGTAGAAGGAGGAGGAAGCATTTCCTCAGTCTCCTCCCCCAGTGATCAGACTGTACATTGTAACTTTGTAGAAGGAGGAGGAAGCATTTCCTCAGTCTCCTCCCCCAGTGATCAGACTGTACATTGTAACTTTGTAGAAGGAGGAGGAAGCATTTCCTCAGTCTCCTCCCCCGGTGATCAGACTGTACAATGTAACTTTGTAGAAGGAGGAGGGGGCATTTCCTCAGTCTCCTCCCCCGGTGATCAGACTGTACATTGTAACTTTGTAGAAGGAGGAGGAGGAGTCATTTCCTGAGTCTCTCCTCCCCCAGTGATCAGACTGTACATTGTAACTTTGTAGAAGGAGGAGGAGTCATTTCCTCAGTCTCCCCTCCCCCAGTGATCAGACTGTACATTGTAACTTTGTAGAAGGAGGCATTTCCTAAGTCTCCCCTCCCCCAGTGATCAGACTGTACATTGTAACTTTGTACCAAGTCACAAGGTGAGGGGCTGCAGCAGGGGGCTGATCTGTGTCATACATTTGTGAACACAGCCAAGAACTGCACAGACACCGGGATTTGCATGATTGTGTCATCTGTGATCATGAAGCAGATGTTGTCCCAGGATGATGCCTAAACAAAGATGGTGCCGTCCTTCTGGAGAGGAAAGCAGATGGCGGCATAATCAGGGGGAGTCCTGGGAATAAATCCCTGGAGGGGTCACACTGACGCACTGTTGTGCATGCGGCCCGTACCGCGAGGAAATATATGCGACTTCCCGCGGAGATCCACTTCAACAGATACAAATAACAGCCTGTAGAAGGAAGCGCCGCGCCGGTCCCACTGATACCCCAGCAGGAGGCGGGACACATATTGGGGGGTTCAGGTCAGGCTCCAGTGTGTTTGGGAATCTGGCGTACAGAAACACAGCAAATAAACGCACACCCCGCCCACATCGCATTATTAATGGCGCCACAAACGCCAGCAGCAATCGTGTGTTTTGTGAACACGCGTGAGGCTCACCGCCAACACAGGTTCATCACATGCATTCGTTGCGTGTAGGGCGCGCCTTTCAAATAATTAGGCTGCCCTATGCAGCTGCGTGAAAGAAACGCGATGCGACGAGCGCTGTGAACGCAGCTTTGGGCGCCATTTATTATTCATTTATTGCTCATTAAAAAAAAAAAATCCAATCAGAAAATGACAACTTATGCTGAAAATAAAAAATTCTCCTTTTATGTCGGTGTCCCCGGCGGGGAGATTCATCCTCTTCCTGAGTCCCGGTGACACCACGTGATGGGAAATCTGACATTTCATAGTTGTCATCAGATGAGGGGGGGATGGGGACAGCGATCCGGGAAATTCCCAAATTATCAGTCTGAAGACACAGAGACAACACCCCAAATCCCACCCCAAATATGTACCACAAGGATCGCCCCATTGGGGGGAAACTCATGAAATGGGAGCCGAGTGTCCCCCACAGGATCCGGATTTCAGATTAGCAGCTAGGAATCAATGAATGAAGAATCAATGAACAATTAATAACTGAAGAAATAATTAAAAATAGCTAATCAATGAATGTTTATTGAATGAATAATCAATAACTAATCAATAAACATTAATCAATGAATAACTAATGAATGAACACAAGTTCACATTTGGCCATCAGAGTGATGGGAGAAGTCGGAGATGAATGAAGATCTCACACAGCGCAGAGAATGTCTCCTCCATCCATGACACCAATGATGGGCACTATTCCTCCCACTGACACCAATGATGGGGCACTATTCCTCCCACTGACACCAATGATGGGGCACTATTCCTCCCACTGACACCAATGATGGGACACTATTCCTCTCACTGACACCAATGATGGGGCACTATTCCCCCCACTGACTCCAATGATGGGGCACTATTCCTCCCACTGACTCCAATGATGGGGCACTATTCCTCCAACTGACACCAATGATGGAGCACTATTCCTCCCCCCACTGACACCAATGATGGGGCACTATTCCTCCCACTGACACCAATGATGGGACACTATTCCTCCCACTGATACCAATGATGGGGCACTATTCCTCCCACTGACACCAATGATGGGACACTATTCCTCCCACTGACACCAATGATGGGGCACTATTCCTCCCACTGACACCAATGATGGGGTACTATTCCTCCCACTGACACCAATGATGGGGCACTATTCCTCCTACTGACACCAATGATGGGGCGCTATTCCTCCCACTGATACCAATGATGGGGCCCTATTCCTCCCACTGATACCAATGATGGGGCCCTATTCCTCCCACTGATACCAATGATGGGGCCCTATTCCTCCCACTGATACCAATGATGGGGCACTATTCCTCCCACTGACACCAATGATGGGGCACTATTCCTCCCACTGACACCAGTGATGGGGCACTATTCCTCCCACTGACACCAATGATGGGGCACTATTCCTCCCACTGACACCAATGATGGGGCACTATTCCTCCCACTGATACCAATGATGGGGCACTATTCCTCCCACTGACACCAATGATGGGGCACTATTCCTCCCACTGACACCAATGATGGGCACTATTCCTCCCACTGACACCAATGATGGGGCACTATTCCTCCCAGTGACACCAATGATGGGGCACTATTCCTCCCGCTGACACCAATGATGGGGCACTATTCCTCCCGCTGACACCAATGATGGGGCACTATTCCTCCAACTGACACCAATGATGGAGCACTATTCCTCCCACTGACACCAATGATGGGGCACTATTCCTCCCACTGACACCAATGATGGGGCACTATTCCTCCCACTGACACCAATGATGGGGCACTATTCCTCCCACTGACACCAATGATGGGGCACTATTCCTCCAACTGACACCAATGATGGGGCACTATTCCCCCCACTGACACCAATGATGGGGCACTATTCCTCCCACTGACACCAATGATGGGGCACTATTCCTCCCACTGACACCAATGATGGGGCACTATTCCCCCACTGACACCAATGATGGGGCACTATTCCTCCCACTTATACCAATGATGGGGCACTATTCCTCCCACTGACACCAATGATGGGACACTATTCCTCCCACTGACACCAATGATGGGGCACTATTCCTCCCACTTATACCAATGATGGGGCACTATTCCTCCCACTGACACCAATGATGGGACACTATTCCTCCAACTGACACCAATGATGGGACACTACTCCTCCCACTGACACCAATGATGGGACACTACTCCTCCCACTGACACCAGTGATGGGGCACTATTCCTCCCAGTGACGCCAATGATGGGGCACTATTCCTCCCAGTGACACCAATGATGGGGCACTATTCCTCCCAGTGACGCCAATGATGGGGCACTATTCCTCCCACTGACACCAATGATGGGGCACTATTCCTCCCACTGACACCAATGATGGGACACTATTCCTCCCACTGATACCAATGATGGGGACACTATTCCTCCCACTGATACCAATGATGGGACACTATTCCTCCCACTGACACCAATGATGGGGCACTATTCCTCCCACTGATACCAATGATGGGACACTATTCCTCCCACTGATACCAATGATGGGGCACTATTCCTCCCACTGACACCAATGATGGGGCACTATCTGATCTTCCTGTCATATTTTGGAGCCGTGTGAAGTGACGCCGATGTTCCCGTCTGCTTCTCAGGGTTATGATGTGGCAGATTGTCGCAGACACGCCCCGCGCCTGTCCGGACGCGCTCAGCCCTGCACAGGACCAACTGGTTGGAGCGGCTTAATTCGTCTATAAAGGAAACAATCGTTCAGCAGAGACGAGATTTCCGCGAGACGCCCGGCGGGGCCCCAAGGGAACGAGAGAGAGAAGGCGAGCGCAGACATGTCCGAGAGACACGGTCCATACAGTGAGGACACGAAGCGCTTCCACCGCCAGTACCAACCGGACTTCAGACCCAGTGATGTCATCACCAGATCTCTGTGCTTCTCTATGCAATAGATTCTCAACTCATTTTGATTTTGACCTGAAGTCCTAAGTAACATCTAATTTCCTTAAATCCCTCCTCTGGCTCCTCCCTTTCAGTCTTGCACAGGTGTACCGACTCCTCCCCTTCAGTCTTGCACAGGTGTACCGGCTCCTCCCCCTCAGTTTTGCACAGGTGCACCGGCTCCTCCCCTTCAGCCTAGCACAGGTGCACCGGCTCCTCCCCTTTAGTCTTGCACAGGTGTACCGACTCCTCCCCTTAAGTCTTGCACAGGTGTACCAGCTCCTCCCCTTCAGTCTTGCACAGGTGTACCGGCTCCTCCCCTTCAGTCTTGCACAGGTGTACAGGCTCCTCCCCTTCAGTCTTGCACAGGTGTACAGGCTCCTCCCCTTCAGTCTTGCACAGGTGTACAGGCTCCTCCCCTTCAGTCTTGCACAGGTGTACCGGCTTCTCCCCTTCAGTCTTGCACAGGTGTACAGGCTCCTCCCCTTCAGTCTTGCACAGGTGTACAGGCTCCTCCCCTTCAGTCTTGCACAGGTGTATTGGCTCCTCCCCCTCAGTCTTGCACAGGTGTATCGGCTCCTCCCCTGTCCTGGCTTCCTCTGATGTCACCGCACACTGGGAGCGTCTCACAATGTGCATTAGAAGCTGCAGCAAGTCAGATAGAGCTCCGCCTCCTTTCCTGGCTGCAGGACATCCAGCATCATCTAGCACTTTCCTCCGCAGCCTGATGGTCCCTGACCCCGCCTCTTTTCATTCATTGGTTTCCATTTCCTTCAGTCAAGGAGGCTCTTATGTGGGTGTTGTCCAGGCTAATGCAGCCTGCCTAGGCACGCCCACTTCTCTAGACTGAAACCTGCATTTGCATAACCCCTCCTACTGCTTGCATCAGGGCTGGAGGGCTCTTGAGGAGTACTGAGGCAGGGTGCTGTGATGTACTTAGGAAGCCCCTCCCACCAGCCATGATCTGCCTGCATTGCATAGGGAAGCATAGAGGCCCAGTGATGACATCACGTGGTTTATAATAAACTGTCATGAAAA